GTCATTTTTTTAGCTGTATCACTTTGGGCAAATTGCTTAATCTTTTTAAACCTTGGTCCCCTCATCTGTGGGGATAATAATATCTTCCTCATAGTTCGATTGTGAAGATAAAATTAAGTAATGGAGGTAAAGGGCTTGAGACCTCATAAATGCACTGCCATCTAGTCAGATCTGACTCATAGTGACTCCTCCTTGGATTTCCGAGGCAGTACCACTATGGAAGTAGCTTGCCCAACCTTCCTTCTGAGGAGTGGCTGTCCAGTGGGTTTGAACGACCAGCCTTCTGGTTAGCAGTCAAATGTCTTAAGCACTACACCACGAGAGTGCTTGTCATATAGTAAGTGCTTAATAATAATACCAATAAGTATAATTAATTATATAATTAATAAATATTAGCAATATATTATTAATAGTAATTAAAAACTAGCTGTTACTGTTGTATAATTATGCATACTACCCACCTTATAATAACATGTGCCATCTTGTATTATTGATTATATGTATATGGCTTCTGTCTCCAACTCAATTGGAAACCCCAGGAAGGGAGGGGAATGTGTCTTACTTACCTCTGTGTTTGCCACCTAGCCCAGAGCCTAGAAATACTCAGGACATATTTGCTGATGGATTGAGAAACTGCCCCATGCTGAAGTGTACCCAGAAGTGGTGGACTAAGCATTGGGAATAGAAGGAGATGGGCTGGAAAAGGGCAGGGGTCAGGAGAGAGAGTGAGATCAAGAGTATGTGGGAGACGGAATCTAGAAAAAGTGGAGTCTTCTGCCTACATGCTGGCACGAGACACTGCTCGAAAGGGCCCTGATGAGGCTTCGCGGTTTAGTAATCTCATTCTACTGAGATCATTCCAAGCTCAGAAATAAGAATCCATTCGTGATACTGGCCCAGGAATGACTCCATCAGTCACTGAAGGGCTGTGATAGGCTGGTTCCTGGGGAAACTAACCTCTGATTTGTAAGAACAGCCATTCTGGTTCTAGCTTCTGAGATTCCACTCCACCCAAGAGCAACAGCAGAGCCCCTTCTCAGTGTCCAAATGAAGGCATATGTGAGGAGTGCATCTCATTTTGTCTCTGCTGTTGTTGGTGTGTGTGTGTGAGAGAGAGAGAGACCACGATGGAATTTTTTTCCTTGATGGCAGCAGGATGCCAGCTCTGTAACTTGCTTAGAAACAGGATAGGCTGTCTGTACCATCTTCTCTCCTCCGTGAGAAAGTGGAGGGCTGATTTTAATGGATTGATTTTAATGGATTTTGAAGTCTGGAAAAGTGCCTAAATTGCTGAGGTTACCAGTTTTCCACGTTCCTTTTTCAATTTTATTCTCCTTAGTCAGACATCCAGTGTGCTGGCTGGGGCACCTAATGTGGTCACCCAGACAAGAAAAGGTCTCCACCTGCTCCCCATCCAAATAGGCAGCTATGACGACTCCCTCACCTGATGAGAGTGAGAGGGTATTGGTTGGTCCTGAATCAGCTAGCAACACCCCTTCTCTGATCTCAAAGGAGAGAGCCAACCAAAAACAATAACACTAGTTCTGCTCTCTGGAATCAAATGACTCCACTCTAAAGCATATTTTTATTTGATCATTTAGTTTTTCACTTGTCTCCATATGAGTTTGTGCAGGGACAATGTACTCTCGTAACTTCAACTGTGTGTATCATAACAATTTATGGATACCATTGCAAAGACTGGGAATCCCAGAACACTTAATTGTGCCCATACATAGGGGATATCATGTGGTTTAAAATCAGGAAGGTGTGCTTCAGGGTTGTCTTCTTTCCCCATACTTATTCAATCTGTATGCTGAGTAAATAATCTGAGAAGCTGAACTATACAAAGAAGAACATGGCATTAGGGTTGGAGGACATTCATTAACAACCTGCAATATGTAGATGGCAACAACTTTGCATGCTGAATGTGAAGAGGACATAAAGCACTTACTGATGAAAATCAAAGACTACAGTCTTCAGTGTGGATTAGACTTCAACATAAAGAAAACAAAAATGCTTACAACTGGACCAATAAGCAATATCATGATAAATGGAGAAAACACTGAAGTTGTTAAGGATTTCATTTTACCTGGATCCATAATCAATGCCCAAGGAAGCAGCAGTACAGAAATCAAATGAAGCATTGCATTGGGAAAATCTGCTTCAAAGGACCTCTTTTAAAGTGTTAAAAAGCTTGAGAAGTAAGGTGTGCTTGACCCAAACCATGGTATTTTCAGTCACCTCATATGAGTTCAAAAGCTGGACAGTGAATAAAGAAAAACAAAGAAGAACTGATGTATTTGAATTATGTTGTTGGCAAAGAATATTGAATGTACCATGGACTGCCAGAAGAATGAACCAATCTGTCTTGGAAAGTCAGCCCCTTAGAAGGGAGGATGGTGAGACTCTGTCTCATGTACTTTGGACATGTTACCAAGAGGGACCAGGCCCTGGAGAAGAACATCATGCCTGGTACAGTAGAGGATCACTGAAAAAGAGGAAGATCCCCAATAAGATGGATTGACACAGGGCTACAGCAATGGACTCAAACATGGCAATGACTGTGAGGATGGTGTGGGACTAGGCAGTGTTTTGTTCTGTTATATATATGGACACTGTGAGTCAGAAATGACTGGATGGTACATAAAAACAATAACAACAACTGTGGGGTATGATCCTTTTTAGCATCCCTCACCCTATATATAGGCTGTGTCCAGCCTGAGAATTGTATGATGAGGTATTTGAAGTCATGAGTCTCCTTGTGAGGCCTTTGAAGACAGGATGACGTTCCAGTCACAACAAGAGAACTCTAGGCTGTTTTAGTACCTCTGTTGGCCTCTAGTATTGCCCCTCCCAGCTCCCAACATACATGCACATTTCTTTTTGTTTTTTTTCCCCCAAAACTTGCTCAACTTGTCTTTGTGATTTCAGAAAAATGCCACTGGATCTCCCAGTATGACGGATTAGCACAGATTATGGGGAACAGTGTTAATTATCGGTGGAAGGGGGGCTGGTGCCTCGCTCCAATGTACTCCTGATTTCCCCTGGGCCTTTCTGCCTGGTAATAAGCCTTCTTTAATCTGGCAGGCCCCTTGGTGAAATCAGCACCACGGACAGTGATATTGATTGCTTCTGAGAAACCATCACAGCTGCTCAACCAAATTACCTTTGATATGTGACCTTTAATGTAATTACTGCAACATCAAAGTATTTCTATAAATTATTAAAGAACTAATACACTCCATCATTTAGCTATTCTATTATATGTAAAATAAACAACCACAAGTTAATGTTAGATCCTGAACAATTCACATTCGCTACTGAAATTCTTCTAGTCCCTGGCCTCTCCCTCTTAAAAATCCTAAAGCCCCTCCTCCCGTCTTCTCTCTTTCTGTTTCCCCATCTGATTCCCAGCTTTTAGCCATCAAGAAACTCCCCAGCAATCTCTCTCAAGCTGATGAAGGGCCTCCCATAACAATGTGGTATTTTCTATTCCATTTGGGTGGCTCTAAAATATCTATCACAACCTCCCCTCAAAACAAAGTGCTATAAACACTTTATTAATCAGCACAAACCTTTCTCAGAAGCCTTTGATTATCTTACAATATGGCTTTATGCTCTACACACAACATGGGGCGATGTGGAGCATATTTCTGCCACCTTACAGAGGGCACCCAGAAAGTAATTACTATAATATATGTGCATGTAGCCGTGCCACTAAAATTCCAACTGGGGAATGGCCACCCTGCCAGAGCTGGGACTCCACACAGGATCTGTTCGGTGCACAATTTCCATACATTTGCATCCTAGGTATGTTATTAAGATGACTCAGTCCCGTGCTCTGCAATCACAAATACCAACATGCAATACAAAGGCTGTCCTAGAGGCAGGCAGACCCCGTGTAACTCAGCACGCCCCTATTCCTAACCAGGCAAAGAAAGATCTTTGATGAAAAGGAAGGCTGCCCCCGCCCAGTTTGCATTTTCTGTTTACCAGGTTAACCTTTCCGGCTGCCTGGCAGAAATGGAAACATGTGTTTACACATGCTCTGCTTGGTAAGAATGTCAACATGCATGTGTAGGCATGGATGCACACACATAGAGAACACACGTGCCTCCACGCAGTCGATTGTATAAGCTTAAACATGGTATATTTATAAATTCTTTAAATTATGCTCACAAACACGAACATCTTTCCATTTATCTTTAGATACTCAGCCAGCCGTATATCTCCCTCCACAGTACCCCGCCCCCCCATCTCTCTGAACCCACAGGAGAGACCGCACAGACCCTTGACCCAAAGAACACTTCTTATTTTATGGTGATGAACTAGCCTCGATAATAGCCATGGCTGATATCACACCCAGTTAGGGGGGCCATAAATAATTCTCTACTCCCCCTCACAGAAGCTATAAACCAGGGCCGAGGCGCGATAGTTTATCAAAGCCGAGGGCTGGCTCCTTAAATAAACCGCGGTGATCTCACTTGCGGCAGCGGCGCCCAGCCGGGCGGGGAGGCGCCCCCTCCCGCCCCGGCCCCGGCCCTCGGAAGAGCCCGGGAGGGGCTCAGGGGCGTTCTGCCGCTGAGCCACAGGCGGCCAAGCGGGGCAGCAGACCCGCGTTCCCCTCCGGGGCTGCCCGCGGGGGCCGGCGCCGCGGAGAGGCGGGGCGGCGCGGCCACGAGGAAGGGGAGGAGCCGCGCGCCGGCTTGTGGCTACTGTCAAGTTCGCCCCCTCGCCGGGATTCCGTCGGGCCTGGACCGCGCAGTGCGAGGTCGCCAGGCTGGGTTTCGGCTGGGACTGGGCTCGGCTCCCACACGCCTTGCCCCTAGCTGGGCGCCTCTCGGCTTCAGGATCTAGCAGGAGCGCGCGCGGGGTACAGAGCGCAGGCAGGAGGCAGGCTCCCGGACTGCCATCCCCCGCTGGCGGCATCGCGGCCTGGCCTCCCCAAGTCGCCCCCTGTCGGCGCGTCTGTCGCTCGCGCCGCGGCGGGCGCCACTTACCCCGGGCAGGGTCTTCTGCTCGTGCAGTGCGCTCTGGGCCTTCAGCGCTGACTCACGCTCGCAGTAGGTGAGGAAAGCGCAGCCTGGGAAGGAAGCAAGCGCGGAGAAGGGTCAGTGGGCGCCCCCTGGGCCGCCGACACGCCCGGCCTCCCCAGCCCTGCTCTTGGTCCCTCTCCTCACCCTCGTTCTCTCCTTGGCACACTACTCCTTTTCCTTCCTCCCGGTTTTCCTGGGCTGTCTGCCTCTGGTCTCTCCCGTTCCTTTTCTATTTTGCTCCCTCCACCGAGACAGTCTCCAGTCTCGCCCTGCTTCTTCCCCCACCACCACACCCCCTTCTCCCCTCGGGTCTCTCTGTTCCTGTGCCCTGGTGACTCAGGTGGCTCCGAGTCACCTTCTCCCTTTAAGCTTCTCTTCCTCCGAGTGCAATTTGTTTCTGCTCCAACCCTATACTTCAGAGAAGGGGCAGTCCCCTCCACCACTAGGACCACTAGTTACACTTGACCATGAACTCTTGCCCTGGCCCCTTTGGAATGCTGGTGGCTGCTCCTGAGGAAAGGTAGGGGGCTGTCCGTGTGTCCCCTGGCCCAGCATTTGTTGTCACATTGGAAGTGATGGTTTTGACACCCCTCCCAGTCAGAAGGTACAGTGGTGGACCTGGGGCACACCTTTAATTCTCTGGGTGATCCAGGCAAATCAAGTCCCCTCTCTGGCCTTGGTCTCCTTACTGTGAACTGAAGGTTGAATAAGTGATTGCCAAGGTCCAGCTCTCTCAGGCCACACCATTGACTCTTCACCAAGGAATCTGGCTTTTCATAGAGCAATCAGCTAAATCAAGGAGTGACTTATGCTGGCTACTCAGGCATGGTGACAAGGTGACAAGAATGGTGATGAGAAAGTCTTCCTGGGAGTTTGCTCAAACTGTGCAGTGTTAGGGTCCCCTTCCTTTGTCTATAGTTGTGACTGGACATGACTTGGGAGGCCTGTAAGGCCCAGGCCATGGGGAATGTTGAAAATCTCACTTAAGCCCACAGCATGCTTGAGTCTGAGTTGCCCCAGACTTTCCAAAGCCACCCGTGGCCCTAGGGAAGGCACAGCAGACTGGCCATGCCCTTCCATTTCACTGTGTCCTCCAATACCCCTCCTCTCCTGCACGCTCCCTCCCATTGTCTTTCTGAGCCTCCCAACAACCTGATGTCATCACTGGCCCCCATTCCTTTGCTCTCATAGTTTCTTGCCTGGTAGGCCTTTTTTCCCCATTTTCACATCTCCCAGGCCTTATCCAGCTTTCAAGAATCTGATCAAGTTCCATTTACTCCAGCCAGCTCTTCTTGACTGGTCTAGTCTATCTTGAGCCAACCTGCTTTCTTGACTGCCCACAGCTGGCCATGTGGTCAGTCTCATGGTCCTGAGTGCCCACTGTAAGCCAGGCTGTGTGCCAGGTCACAGTTCCTCTTCTCATGATGGTGCTTACTCCAACTTTTGCCACCAGGCTTGCATTGGTGTCTTGTCCGGGCACAGAGTATCCCAGAGTCCTCTGCAGTTCCTGACCCCTCTATCATTCAGCTTATGCTTAATGAAAAACCGCTTCCTCCTCTTCCAGTGTAGGAACTGACCTTGCTCCCCTTCCCCTTCTGGCTTTCATAGAGGAGATGGGAAGGAAATGGCGAAGAAGGAAGCAGAAACAGAAGTTTGGGAGACAGAAACTCTCACCACCACCCCCCCCAGCTCCCTCTGTCTTCCCCTCGTCCACTGGGCAGAGCTGTGAGTGCTTTCTTCCCCTACGCTCTGCCTCGTCTATCCCCATTCCCACCAGACTCTAGATCACTGTCCTACCCTTCTCCCTTCCCCCTCTTCCCTTCCTGGTCACTGGCAGACTGTTATTGATGGAGACATTGGGGACTGAAATGAATAGCGGTCAGAGGCCCCCGTGACGTCGTCCCTCGTGCTGCCGCCTGCCTATCCCGGGGGTGTCTTTCTTCCCATCCCCTTACTGGCCTTGTCCTTTGCCTGTGTTTGCCTGCAGCCGAGAGGCGGCTACTGCCTTGGCTGCATGTAGGCAAGCCAGCTCGGGACAAGGTCAGGGGCAGGTTTGAGAGGAAGGAGGAGGCGGAGGAGGAGAAGAAGGAGGAAATGACCACATGGTTTCCATGGCCCAGGAAAACAAGGAAAGGATTCTAAAGAAAAAAGAATCTTACTCTTGTCCAGCTTCCAGGAATTTCTGCCACAGCTTTTTTCAGACTTCACAGCTTCCTTGTGAACTAGAATTTTTCAATGACCTCTCACCCTCTCCCCAGACCCTGTGTGACCTACCCCTGCCACCTCATCACCTGAGCTCAACCCTTTCCACTCCCTCCCTCCCCTTCTCATTCACTGTTCTGCGTCCTCTTTCTCAGGCTCACCAGGCACACTGCTTTAGGGTCTTTGCACGAGTTGTTTCCTCTGCCCAGAATGCTCCTTCCTTATTTAATACACCACATTCCTTCATCTCCAACACACACAGACCTTCTGACCCCTCACCCTACTTGCTTTTCTATCTGGCACTTATCACTCCCCCCCCCGCCCCGATATATATTTATTTGTTGATGGCCCATCTTCCCATGCTCAGATGAGGTCAGGAATTTGGTTTTGCTTTATTTCTGCTGAGTTTCCAGGGCCCAGAACAGTGACAGAAGCTTAATCAACATTTGTCGGGAGCACTGAATGCCTGAACACCTGAGCTAATTTGGAGGGATAAGAAGGGCAATGCTCAGAGACTGCTGGGAGTTGACTAAGGCCCCATGGACCCTGAAGCTTGCTAGGCTTCCATGGTGGTGGTGGAATCAGAGGTTGTCCATGAGGGCTGATAGGCAGGGAGATGCTGGAGGGTTCTCATCCCAAAGGCTTCTTCAAGCCTGTTCTAATGCTTGAGCTCGCTATTAGAGTCATTCCCTTGGGATTTCTCCCCCAAGTCAATCATGCCCTGAAAAGAGTGATGCCAACTCCAGACAGGGGGCTTTGCTCAGGTGAGCTCTTTACCAACCAGGGGTTGCTTACTGATCTGTCCTTCTGAACTTTAGTTTTTTACCTACACAATGGGGACAGTAATTCCCATCTCAGAGCCTGTGGGGAGACCTCTAAAAAATGAGTATGAAAAATCTCTGCAGAGTTCTTGAAGGTCAGAATGCATTGTAAATATAAACCCACTCTTGTGAAGCAGGAGGTTAAGAAAGGGTCCACTGCCTTCCTTCTCTCCCTCAGCACCTCTCTGTGAGGACAGACCAGCCTTATACAGATGCTAACTGGGGCACACCTATCTCAGGCCCTTCTCAAATGATCTCTTCAGCTGGTCTAATGCAATGTCTGCCATTCCACCAGGAGAGATCAGTCCACTAACTTGAGGAATGTTAAAAAAGGCAAATATGCATAAACAGTTACTAACTTCTGACTCCAGGGTGTGGGTGAGAGGCCCAAACCTGCTCCCTTGCTGAAGAGAGAGCCCCGGGGTGGGGGTAGCTTAAGAAGGAAGGTGCTGCAGGGCCTCCTGGGGTGAAGGCTGAGGTGGGGCTCAGGGTGGCCAGAAGAGAGAGGGTGTTCAAGCCATACCCATTGGTCACTCACTGGTATCTCATAGTGGTATACACGGGACTCCCGCCAGCCCCCCACACACCCTGAAAACCTAACTTTTACTTCCTATTGCTGATCCCTGCTCCTCACAGGGATTGAGGAGGGGGCTGCCAGCTGTGAGGGTCATGCAGAAGGTGAAATAATAGGCAGTGTCAGCCTCAGCCCAGCATTCACTAAATCTGCCGAGCTCACTCTTCCCCTGATGCACTAAGACATCCTCAGAGACACACCTGGGGAAGCCCTCCCTGGTAGGGCCATGCCTCCAGGGACCTTTGGAGGATGTGTGTGTTTGCAGGTATGTGAACATGTGTGTATGCTGGTGGGAGTTTGTATGGTTTGCATGTGGATACTTGTGTGTATGTGTGTTTGGGAACAGGGATCTGTCTGTGCCTGATTGTGGGCCGTGTGTGTATGTTGGTGTGTGCATGTGTGTGTATGAGAAGTCTAAGTCGCCTATAGAGTACAACACAGAGGAGAAAGCCCATAAGAATATCAGCAAAAGACTGGTGCGACAGCAATGCCTGGATACACAGGCAAGAGGGACATGGGTGATATTGTTCCACCTGTGTTAGGTCTTTGAAATAAGACAAAGTTGGTGATAATTTACATGGCAGCAAATAGACATAAATATGCTTATGCATATTTGCTTTTCCAAAGTCCATCAAGTTAGTGGACAGAGCAGTAATTTTAACAATAATAATGAACAGTGACATCTTGCTCACTCTCTGCCAGACACTGAGCTGAGAGCTCATAAGACATGGACCCATATGATCTCTGCAACAGACCTGTGCGGTAGGTACTACCATTGCCTCCATTTTAGAAATAAAGAAACTGAAGCACAGACAAGTTCAGGAACTTGCCAAAACTACAGTCTAGTAAGTGATGGAGCCAAGCTTTGAACTCAGTCCATCTGATCCCAGATCCCTTCTATTATATAGGAAACCATGGGCAAGTTTCACCACCTTGCTCAACTCTGGTTTCACCTCACTTGTTGAAAAAAACATAAACCTGTTGTGAAGATCTAGAATCTAATTTTTTAAAAACACATTTAATCAAAGTGTGTACTATGTAGACAGAGCACATTTGATTTAATAGATTAGCAATTATTCAAATGGATGATTCCTTTGTCTCTTCCAGGACCACCCTAGGGTGGCCTGTGAAGCCCCTGCTTGGCTGCCTGACACAAGGAAACTGGGGGCAGTGGCAGAACTTGAGGCACTGTGGTGGTCAAGGCCTGTGGGATGTAAGCACAGGGTGGATGAGGCCATAGGGCCCAGGAATCGCTGGGCCCTTTCCAACACCCCAGGCAGCTCAGGGTGGATATATACTCTCTCTGGATGTTGGGTTATTTTCTTATTTTAAGAAGTACATGCCATTGATCTGAATGCAAAACATAGAATTAACCGTGCCAGTCCAGAAATAAGGAACACACTTTTTAACCCACTGGTCTGTGCCAAGCCTGTTTGGCAGACACAACAGA